ATCAGTCCAACTGCTTTTAGCCATGTTTCCACATAGACTTTACAGTTTGGTCCAGATTCCTGAGCTGTTCATGTGTCCATTTTTATTAAGTAGAAGTAGGACAGGGCAAACTAATTTGCAGTTTAAAGTTCTTTTAAACTGTCTTTTAGATTTTCCTCCAGAGCTGTGTTGGTTTTCACTACTGTCACTGCATACTAAAGTCACATCTTCCATTCAATTTCTGCTTTTCTGGTGATGTCGTGCTGGACGGTGGACAGCAGGAGTGACCGGAACCACAACAGAAACGCTGGCTTCTGTGTGTGCGTTTCAGGCTTTCAGATCTTTTTTTAGGGACTTTATATTGTCAGTTCTTTGAGTTTAAATGTGGGCAGCAGCAGTTTGTCGCTTTCAGTCAGAAATCTGCCAGTGTGAAGGATGAGGAAACCATATTTTCGGCCGGGGAGAAGCGAAGTGATCTGTTACGAGAGGAGTAGGAGGAGAAGATCCGCTCTGAGACAAACAGAAACATTCTATTCTGAATTACACTGCTCTTTCTTATGAACTCCACAGCTCTCGCTTTAAATTTGCCATCTGATTTTTTTCAACAGAAATGTATGTCCTGGTTAACAACCGGGTGAGTTTCATCCAGAAAGAGCAAAACTTTGAGTCGCAGTTTTTTGTTTTTTGTCCACATTTCAATCCTGTTGTATGTTTTACACTTCAGCTCTGCTTGGGGCAGGTGTTACTGGTATTTGAGGAGTATTTAGAAAAAGCAGCTCATTAACATCATGATCATGATCTTTATCTCTTCAATTAATGTCTCACCTTTTGCGCCTCTTCAAAAAGTTACCCAGAAAAACTTGAACAGGACTTGTCAGATTACCCAAGACATAGTAGATATCATTCAGATGAGTCAGCTCCATTATACCGTTCTGCATTAATACAGATGATATTGCTCTTTCAACCTGTAACATTTCCTGCACTCATCTAAGCAAGACTTTATTAGAACACTTCAACACTGACATTTGTGAAAACATGAAAATGAGTTTGGCTCCCAATATGTATGTGGCTGTGTGAGTGAACACTCATTTGCTCTCTCTTTCTGTGTGTGTGTGTGTGTGTGTGTGTGTGTCTGTCAAGTCCAAAACAGTTTCAACACAGCGGGCCATAAGAACAAGCAGGAAGATGGTGACTAAGAGAAATTGAGAAAAGACAAAGAGTCAGAAAATTTTAGAGAGAGAGATAGAGAAAGGGTGTGAGGGTGTGAGTGTGTGGGTGCTTCTTGTCAGTGTTGAGCCATCTTCTCTTTACTGTACTTGCTATTGAGTAGAAAAATGGTTAATTTTAGGACAACAGTGCAGTACCCTCAACGTAGGTGTATTCTTTGTTTTTCAAGTAAAAAGATTGATTCATTTGTGCGTGTGTTTGTGTGTGTGAGTGGGGGGGTGGGGGGGGTTGGGTAAGAGAGAGGTGACTCCAATTATCAGGAATCCCACCCTTTTACAGAAGTCATAAGGAATGAATAGTTTTCACTATAGTTTTCAAAACACTAATGTCATCTTCTGTAAAATCGATTCTGTCTGAAATTTGCAGTACCTCACTAATATATTGTCACTGTAAGAAAATCTTTTATATATTCAAAGTGTATCTACTTGTATCTCTGACTTTATAGAAGAAAGAAATAGAAGAACTTTAAACTGTTAATGTAACCTAAGATGTTAGAAAAAGTCTTTTGGTTTGTTCATGGTGAAATGTTTGCAGAAGTTTTAAAGGGTATCTTTTCCTGCATAATTTTCAAATAGTGTATGTTTGTATATAAGTAAACAAATAAATAACCAAATGTAATTGCAAGGTTTCCTTATAATGTTGACAACATGTACATATCAGATTGCATAGTGAAGAATCATTCTTTGTGTATAGTACTGTGCAAGTCAGCCAAGAAAATTTTAAAAACGATCTGTCTTGGCTTTAAGTGTGTTGTGGCCTGTAAAAACACTATACGACACTAAACGAAACACTAATAAACATGAATACAGTTCCTGCACTCCATGGATTGCATGGATTTGTTAAATTCCATCACTAACACACTTGACTTCATTTAATGAAGGATTGAGTAACCAAACTATATATTGAATGGTAACTGTAAATAATGCACTTCCTCAAGCTGAGGTTTGGAAACGGTTAAGCAAAAACACACAGGCAATTTGTAATGTCCTGTAATCTATTGTTTACTTGTGTAGTTGTTTTAATTTTTTTTAACAAATCACTTGCCGTAATATTTTTTGTTATTGCATATACAATAATAGCCATACAGTGTGAATTTAAATATTACAGAGTATTTACCAAAATGTATTTTTAGATGTTTTATTCAGTATTTTAAGAAATCTGTGAACACAAACTCTTTAAGTGATAAAAAATATACTGCAATTATCTTTTACATTAATTTTTGGTCAAGTTAGCTGCGATGACATTTGATCACTTCTGAATTTTTAATTTTATTATAGCTTAATTCACTATGCTATGCAGCTTTCTCAGATGCTTTAGAATAGGACATCTGAACTGTAGAAATAGAAATTCTACAGCTCAGATGGTAACATCTTATATTTCTTCAACCTCCTGTTGTCCTATTCATTATTTGAACCCTTTATTATATTAATGAAAACATTCAAACATTCATTCTTTTGAACTGTAATCCCAAACACTTGAATGCTAGTGTATATATTTCAAAATATGTGTATTTAAATGCATGTATTACATATTATTAATAGAGAGAGACAGGAAAATGTTGTGTACATTGAAGATTTGAGAATATTTGCCATGATAAATCCAAATATCAGAAGCATTGGATCACTGCTGCTGTATGTGGCTGTAGGTCACATCTCTGATCTCTGATCACTAATCTTTGTGGTTTGAAGTCATCTCTTAACTTAAAGCTAATGAAGCTAGCATCTGATTAAGATAATGCCTGGCTAACATGACTGCTGATTGGTATCAGTGTGATGCTGTTCAGTGCAAAAGGCCATGATGCCAGAATTTTGGTAGTCAATGTAAATACCATTGCACGATTCTCTGTACCTCATTTAATACAACAACAAAAAAACAGAAATCGCATTCGGGCAAACTCTCCTTTCTCAAAAAACGGTATGAGAACATTAACAATTGAAACAATTGAAAAATAGAATAACGACATGTAGTCTACTTAATAAATTAAACAGCAGCATTCATTATTCATGATGTGATTTGTTTGTTGTTCATTATAAACTATACTGTTTTAGTAATTCTACCTTAAAGGCTTTAAATTTTGAACATACATCACTGAGCAATAAGGACATTAACAAAATATAGCCTAAACTGTGATATAATAATTATAGCTGCAACATACCAAATGGCGTGTGCCAGTAATATGGCATAAATAAGAAATGCAAAACAGTGTCTCGTTTCAAACCAAATAATAGATTTGTTATTTTGTTATTCTGTGTATTTCTGGATAGGGATGCTTTTATAATGGTAGTTATTTGGTAGTAATTTGATATTTGGTAATTTGTTAGTAATTAGTTTGAATTGAAAGTGACCTGATCTTCTTCCGTTGCTAAATTTGACAACTTACCTCCTTTAGTTTTGTTATATGTGATGTTATATGTGATTATGAAATGATGCCAGTCACCAGAGAAGTGTTCTGTGCAGATATCCATTTTATAAAAATGTAAGGCAGAAATTTGTTCCATGTTTTAGAATACGTATGGTCTAAAAAGTTGACAGTAGTGTGGAACCAATTTTGACTCTATATTACTGATGTTGTAGAATACTAGTAACATTTTTTTTGACTTGGCACCAAAGTATCAGTTCTTGTAATGTCTGTAGTTCAGTGTCAGAGATTAGAAATTGACAGTGTTATGGTTTTATCACAAAAGAGCTGTTCATTACTAGTGCTATATAAACAGATTCTTTCAAGTTTTATTCTCTTCTAGGTCTCGTGGCTGTAGGGATTTGCATGATGAATAATGGTTCTTGAATGGTAATGGTGCTCTGGTAAATGTACTGTTGTCATAAACTACAGATACATATTTAAACAAACAGATCTACAAACAAAAGTGTGAACTGGGAGTGTGGTGATTTATTCACAGTACACTGTGAGGGAGAGCTGGACTACAATGTATAGTACGTTCAGTCTGAAGCCCTGAACCCCATCTGCCTTCTGGTTTAATGGTCCCAGACAAAGGGTCATCGGTTTCTGGGTAATGAACGTCTAGAAGAATTTGGTAATGCCTCTGCTTAAACACACCACAAACACACTCTACTCAAACACTAAATGTGGTAATGAACGGATCAGTTGAATCAGGTACATTTCAGCAGGGAAGTCACCAGACTCTGCTGGACACCAGCTTTCCAGGGCAAAAGTGGGTGAAGTTCATTTGCCTCCCTAGTGGTGTAAAAATGAGGATCACGTTAATTACTTTTTTTGAGTGTTGGTCCGTAAGTACCTTTATAGATGCCGGATACCTGGCTGCATTTTTACAGTGTCACGAAAGGCGTTTCCTGCGTTGTGTATCTAATGCACGTCATTGCGGAGGTCGAGGGATTTTGTTTTTCGGAAACTTTGCTATCGTTTCGAAACAAGCTGATGGGCTTGGAGCGAGGGAGCTGTAGGCGAGGGGGGAGGGGTATCTCTCTCCATCTCCGCTATTCTTCGTCAAACATCTTTTTTCAGAAGACAGGAAGAAGAAAGAGAAAGAACAGAGAAAGAGCGCACAAGTCAGCGATCCCCACCGGAGGGTGAGCAACCCCAAAAACGTTCAAAGCAACAGCAGCAGAAGAACGAGAGCAGGTGAAGCCAAGAACGCAAGAGAAAACCTTTAGTAGCAGAGGAGAAGTGAGAGGAGGGCAAAAAGAAGACGGATGCCATGACACACGCTTCCGTGAGGCTCCCGTCCACGACGCCGCGGTTCTCCATGACTGGCAGAATGGTACGGTATGATCCAGCCTCATGCGGCCTGCTGCAGGTCTGGCCAACTGTGTGTGTGCGTGTGTGTGAGAGAGAGAAAGAGACACTGAGAGAGACTGAGAGAGAGACTGACTTAAGGTCAAATAGTGTGGATGGGCCAGTCGGTTTCAGCTAAAAATGCACTGGTGCATCGATCGGAAGGTGTCATCATCTGCCTTGTAAAATGTAAAAATCACTTCATAAAAAGGCCTGCTGTGTTATTTTAATTGTCTCTGTCCCACTGCTGTGTAAATAATCACATTTGTACATGTCACATTCATGTATTTAGTGTATTTTTGAGAATATATATATTTTTTTAAATAATCTTACCAAAATAATGTAATCAAACCATGGTTAAATTTGTGATTTTGTGATGCATTGAATCATTTCCTAAATCATAATCATGATAGTTGTAAAGTCAGAGATTTACACCTCTAATGAAATGCGCTGAAGTCCCACGGTAGTGATGGGTGTGTGAACAAACGAGAGAAAATGTGTCCAGGCTAACGTGTGAATGTGAATAAGGGAGCTTTTAATGGTGAGGTGTATATTCAGCTTGTATGTGTTTTGGACCTTGTGCAATTTACACGAGCCTAATATGATCATGATTGAAAGATAAAATGAAGCTCTTCTGCTCCGAACTTCTTTCGTTCTTGTGTAACATTGGCAGAAGTGCCAAGATGCCACACCTGTTCCTAAGAAATCTCATTCCTAGAGAGAGGAGGGGTTTGTGAGGGTGTGTGTGCATGTGCTTTGGAGCAGGTTATTCAGGTGTTGTTGAGTTGCTCTGTGTTGCAGAATTATGGGCTGGAGAGGGGCTGCAGGTTGCTAAGGGGAAGTGGAGCGGCGGTTGGTTGTTGGTGGAAAGTTCCGGGCTCAGGTGTGTGTGCACTTCTGCAGAACTGGAGGGGGTGGGGGGTCGGATGAGGAGACGCTCCATCAGATCAAAACAAGCGGCAGCATAACAGTTCATGCAAATTAGCAAGAGTCCTGAATACACCACCTTTGCTTTGCACTTTAACCCTTTAACCGTCGTGGACTTGTCGGTGGGTCCAGACTTCCATTCTTTTCCTTTTAACTTAATAATGACCAATTTTCAATAATTTTCTTTGTTTTCCATGTAGTTATGGACTAATAAGCCTTAGGATTTGAACATCCAAGAAATTGAAAGAGTTTATAGCACGAAACGTTCAGTTTACATAAACCCAGGGTTGCCCCAAGGCTGGTCCATGAGAGCGTTTGATTTGGTCCGACAGACCTCACCCAGTTAGAGAACAGACATATTTTTGTTGTATATAACAAATATATAACATAATAAATTGAATTGTTCATTTTTAAATTAATTTTTTAAAAACTTGTTCGGACACTCCTGCCTTAACCCTTTTAAAGCTAGGTGTTTTATTTAGTTACTAATTATTATTCAGTATTATTATTCATATTATTCAGTAATTATTCTTAAGAGTTATTATTCAATGACGTCTTTGAATTATTCTGTACCTGCTGTTAAACTAAAACGTAAGTTCCATAGAGTTGACAGCCAGTTATTATGACAGCAGGGTTATGTAAGGGTTAATTTTTTCATAAAATTTGTGATACTTGCTCCAGGGACGTTCATCTCCGGTCCTGGAGGGCCTGTGTCAAGCACAACTCCCTACTCAAGCACACTCACTAAACTTGGCCATTGACAGGTGACATGAATCAGGTGTGTTTGAGCAGAAATAATCACCAAACTGTGCTGGATATTACCTCTGTAACCACCCCTGTATAGACAGTAATTCTGATGACTCTTGCTGTGTTGAGAAATGTATTGCAACAAGTCTGAGCCAGACATACTGCTAATCCTGTCATTTAAGAAACCACAGCGTTTTATTCTTTCCGAATCGTTATCCGCACTCTAACAGCGTTCCTCCCCCTGTGTGATGTGTGCTGGGGAGCAGCTCTGATCTGGCACTTAGAATATGAATTTGGAGTGGAAAATTTAATGTAAAGTTTCTCCCCACTGCTGCAGTTTCCCTGCCCTTGTCATGCATTATCCCACCCCCACACACATCCTTTCCCCATTACACACACATTCACACACATCTCTTTCTGACGCCCACTCCTGTTCAGTCCCTGTTTGTATATTATTAGATGAGCTGTTTCTTTATTTGCCTCTACCTGAGTGACCCCCCCGCCCCCAACAGATGTCTCTCTCTGTCCAACTGTCTCCCCTCCAATTTTTTCACCCTCTAGCTGCTGATCCTGATCCATTAATCTGAGTTTAAAGCACATCTGCAGGGGTCCTAACTTCACACCTCTCTTTTTCTCCAATTCGTTTCAGCAGCATGTCAGAATTAAACCGTCATTCACACTAATGTCTGTCAATCAAGATATAACTCACACTTATGTCTATCAATCAAGCGTTATGAACATCTGCCAGTTAAACCATAATATACGCTAACAGTGGTCTTTCTAACCATAATTTACACATTAAACATCTGTCTTTCATTGCTTACAATACAATCCCAGAGTGAAACCCCATGATATTTGACATAATGTAATTTAATGATTATGGAAATTTATTAAGATATTGTTTCTATTTAAGGATATTTTTAAATAATACTATTTTGTTGTTTTTTATTTTGTCCAGACATATTTACCTTTCAGACACCATTTATTTCATAATAATTAAGTAAATGTATTTAGTGTATTATAATGTGGTCATACTCCATATAGTGTGTTACATTATCCAGACTCATTTTTAAATAATAAAAATTATTCCTGCAAATCCTATTTGTAAAGCCTTTGCGTGAAAACCTTTGTCTTAAAAACTGTTTTGTAAATGTAGGTATTACCATGAACATACCTGGAAAATAACCATAAAAATGAACAGATAAGCAAGACACACGTGTTCACCTTTTTAGGTAATAAGGCCATGAATGCTTCACAAATTTTTCCTTTTTTTAGATAGTAAACAAATTATTTCATGAATCTTTTAAAGTATCATTTTTTTCAGTTTCAGTTTTGAAAACTGCATTTGTTGACATAAAGAATAGGACCAACTACGTAATTCTTCCTCAAATATAGAACATTTCGTCATGTTAGCAATTAAAGGGAGTACTAAAAATAAGATTTTATCACACATATTTAAGATATTACTAAAAGATCTAATGGATAAATTTTGATATTTAAGAAAAATGGGAATTGGAGATGAAATTATAGGAGATGATAATTTCAGATAAAAACTGGGAATTATGCAGAGAGGGACATAAATTAACTAATATCCCCACTTGGAAGGAATTTAAATGGAAAGTTAAAATGAGATTTTTTTCAGGACTCCTCTGGTCTCATCAAAATTCAGTGTCACTCAGTGCTGGAGGGGTCGTCGCCTGGTAGGAGACCATTCACAAATATTTTTGGGCTGTCCGAAAGGATCAGAATATTGGCAAAACATACAAAATTAAATAAAAAAAAGTTTAGATATAGATCTGCCCTAAGAACCATCTTTTTATTAAGAATATTACCAGAAGATGTAGGAGATAACAATCAGACATCACTACTGAGAGTCCTTCTTCTACTTGCCAAGAAGATAATCATAGTTTCCTGGCTGTGGCCACAGCCCCCTACAGTAACACAATGAATAGAAAAGTTAAGGATGTTCATTACATGGAAAACATAACCTCAAGGTTACAATTAAAAACATGCATTCTTGAGTAAATGGTCCCCAGTTATCTAATTTTTCAGTTGAAATAATCTAAGAGATAGTAAAACAATTCCTGTGGATTTAAGAATTACATATTCAATTCTAAAACTTATATCTATTAGTTTTGTTTGTGTTCATGGAGGGATGTCATTATTCATCCCTGGGGAATTATATATGGACATTGAGAGGATGCCGAAATTCATTGACTGGCCTTTAGGCCTCGGATATTGGATATTGCCGATGATGGATAAGACTCGATGGCGATGTGCGAAAGGCGATAATCAGTGTTTAAGGCTATATTTAGCTCCAGCCTTAAACACTGATTATCGCCTTTTGCACATCGCCATTGAGTCTTATCCATTTCCTGTACAGCTTAAGCGTGCCAGTGGTTAGCTGAATAATGAAAACTCAGCTATGTCAACGGAAAGCGCCTTGCTTTTAACTTGGAAAGTGCATGTCCATGGCTTTGAAAAGCATTTGCAGGCGATATAATCGATAATGAAGAAATGCTAATTATTTTTAGATATCACCCAACTCTAAGCATGAACAAAACCTGTCCACCACCAAGAAGCATTAAAGCAGCTTTTCACCAAGACTTTTCTCCATGTCTTTCTCTAGGTGGCAATGTCTCCCGGAGAGGACGGCCTGATTGGGATCCCCTTCCCGGAGCACAGCAGCGAGCTCCTGTCCCGCCTCAATGCGCAGCGGCGCTCGGGTCTGCTGTGTGACCTCACGTTGACCTCCCGTGGCGCCCGCTACCCCACACACCGCTCTGTCATGGCTGCTGTCAGCCTCTATTTCCGCCGACTCTTTGGGGCAGAGGAGGGCGCAGAGGGCACAGAGGGCAGTGTAGGCACAGGCTGCAGTGTGTGTCAGCTAGACTGCGTATCACCAGACGCTCTGGACGCTCTGCTGGAGTTCGCCTACACGGCCACTCTGACCATCCGCAGTTCGGGTATGCGGGAGGTAATGGAGGGCGCACAGCTGCTCGGGATACAGTGTGTGGCTGACGCCTGCCGGCACATCCTGGGCGAGGCAGGCGAGGCAGGCGAGGCATCTGAGGAGATGCCCCGTCCTTTAGATGAGGATGGCCATCGGGCAGCATCACGCAGGAAGCAGGATCGGCGCAATGTTGCCAAGGCCTGGAGGAATACCCAGACACCTGAGCCAGTCAGACAGCAGATATGCGAATATGAAATGCCGGCCAGCCCGGAGCACCAGGAACACCCACAAAATGGAGCATCCAGAGCCAGTCAGCAGGGAGTAATGCTGAACGGAAGTGGACCTAGCGCACACTGGTCCCGTCCACAGCCATCCGAAGAGCCACCCTCAGAGGATGAGGAGGAAGAGTCAAGAAG